AAATTAAATAAACTTTTAATTAATTAGTAGAACTCAGATTTACTAAAGTTCACTGACGTGGATACATAAATGTGAGTGGTGATGATCAGATGATGTAGCCAATCAATAACGGCATATTAACAAAGTTTGAGGCACCCATTAATTTTGTTGTTAATTTGTATTAAAAATCTTAAATCTCAAAACTTAAAGTCTCAAAGTTATAGTTAGGGTGTTCGTGGTGTGGTTTGGTTCAAATTTTATTATTTTTTAAATCAATCCAATTTAATCTGTTAATAAAATTTTTAAATCAATTCAATCCATTATTATATGATAATCAAATCAATTCAATTTAAATCAGATCGGTGTGGTTCGGTCGGATTAGTTGGTTTTTAATATTATTAAATATATAAGATAATGTAAAAATATTTTATTATCAAATAAAAAGTATAATTATAAAATACATTAACATTCAAATCAGTAAAAATATAATAAAAAGTAAAAATTATAAACGAATTCTTATACTCTTTTACATTTGTAAAAATTAAAAATTTTTGAAAATTCTTCTTGATTACATCACTAGAGACACCAAAAATAATGAAAAAATAATTTCAAATTTCTAGTACAACGTAAATAATTCTTGAGGGTTAAAATTTTTTTTAATACACTAATAATTTAATGTTATTTTCTAAATCCTATTAAAAGTGAATAACATTTAACATAAATATTACTAAAATTGATTAGAAGCATTCAAAATAAAAATTTAAAACTTCTAAACCAAATATCTAAGAGTAGTTGAATATTAAGATTAATTTTATTATATAATTTTTAGGCTTTTAGAATGATACTCATTTAAAACTTAGTTAGGAAAATCATAAGATTATTTTAATAACAAATTAGAAATTTAGGGTTTTAAAAGTGAAGACGCAAACTAGTTATGAAAAGATAGAGCTATAGGTGAATTAAAAATTAAAAATTAAGGTTAGAGTGCATGATTAAAATGGAGAAATTATTTAGGGAATATAAAGATGTTCTATTTTTATTTTTTTAATTAAGTTAATGGAGTTATAATATTGTAAAATAAGAAAAAAAAAATTT